CCAACCTCTTAAGACATGTCGACAATGATTTACTCAGACGAATGTGGTTCCAACAAAATGGAGCATCGGCTCATAGATCTCGAGCTGTTACACAATATTTAAACAATAGATTCCCGAATAGGTGGATTGGTATGGGCAGTCGAGTTCAAGAATGGCCCCCAAGATCACTCGACTTGACACCCCTAGATTTTTATTTCTGGGGCTACATTAGAGATATAGTTTATTCGCAAAAGCCTACAACCGTTGAAAATATGAAAAACCAGATCAGACAGGCTTGCAGAAATATTAATGTAGGTGTTCTTGAAAAAATTAGGGACGACTTTCACCATAGACTAGAGCTATGCATATAAGTAAATGGCCAAGTTTTTGAACACTTTAAGTAATTGTACACAAAAGAAGATCTTGCCTTTACTGGTTGGATCATGCTCGGATCTTGCCTTGACTGGCTGGATCATGCTCGGATCTTACCTTGACTGGCTGGATCATGCTCGGATCTTGCCTTGACTGGCTGGGTCATGCTCGGATCTTGCCTTGACTGGTTGGATCATGCTCGAATCTTGCCTTGACTGGTTGGATCATGTAAGATAAGACTATCGGAAAGTGAATGTTTTACGAAATATTTTGTATTTCTATCAAAATTTTGTAAATTTGGAGCTTTATAACTCGAAAAGTACTTCACCAAAAAACATTCGGTTATAGTGTTTTGGGAAGCTGTCGAGGTCAGCTATGAGAGTGTGTAATAAAAAATAGGGGTGTCATCTAAAAAAATTGAGGTAACCTTCACATGACCTTCAAATTACTCTTGAATGTCAAATCAATGGTACCGTCTTATGGCCCCCTCGAAACCATACAAAACCTGTCTGAACCATTTTTCTTTAAAATCAAAAATAAGAGAGGTATTTGGAGTGAACACTTAAAATGGGACACCCTGTATAAGGTGTACAACTTAATTCTCGGCCCTTTTTGCTCAACTTCAATGCTCAGTTTTAAAAACAAGAATTTACCTAATCCCAAAAGTAATCTCCTTCACTTTCTACACATTTCTGCCATCTTTCAGGCAACTTTTGAATTCCGCTTTGGAAAAACGATGGTGGTTTGGACTCAATGAAGTCATCAATGCTTTTTCTGACTTCTTCAGAAGTTCGGAATCTGATGGGGCGAGGTTTGGAGAATATGCTGCGTGAGGAAGGATTTCCCAGCCTAAGTTGGAAATGATTTCCAGGGTCACGTTTGCCGTGTGTGACCGTGCGTTATCATGCAGCAGTAATACCTACCTCTTTCCACTACTAGTAAATGATCTTTTTTGCTCGAGTGTGTCATTCACTTTAATTAGTCGTTGCTTGTAGCGTTTAGTATTGACCGTTTGACGGGGTCCAAGCAATTCGTAGTACATAACTCCTTCCCAGTCCTTACTTGGCTGACCCGGTCATTGTTCATCTTCAAGATCGAAATTTCCTTCTCGAAACCTCTGAAACCACTTCTTGCAAGTGCTGTAAGAGACAGCATTTTCGCCCAAAGCCGAACAAACCATTTTCTGCGTTTCAGTTGCATTTTTTTTAAGTTGGAAAGCGAAGGAGGCAGTGCCTTAAATGCTGCTTTTCGAACGACATTGCATTGACTACTGTTCTTTGAGGTTATATCAGCAGGGCTGCCATCTGTTATACTGCATTCTAAAGCTGAGGCTTACTATTTTCAGACCACCATAGAGCGGAAATAAATTTCAATTTGAATAGAAGCTGTCATTCATTGAATTTTGGGTCCGAGAATTAAGTTGTATACCTAATAATTGTGTTGAACAGTAATTATACCGTTGTTTGAGGGCATTGCATAAATCGATATAGAATTCTAAAACTAATTTATTGTTATTTTTATATTATTCATTGCTCATATACCATATGGTATATGATACATAATAGTTTTTGTAGTATTATAAAATTATATTTTATACTTAATTGTAATTATATTACATGCGTATATGAAATATATTAAATATTATATAATATTAGGTGTACAAATGAATAATTTAAAATTTTTTATGCAGCTAAGAAATTAAATTTCAAATAATCAAATTTTTCCTCTCTTTTACGGTTATGTAATGTTGACATATAGCTATTAAAAATTATATTTATTATGACGGAAGGCTTAACATAACGTGAAAAATTATTTAGTTCAGTCAAAGATGGCAGTCAAAAATGGCAACAGATAAGATGCAGAGAGCGAGCGTGGCATAATATTAGGTCAATCGGAAAGTTCCGTTCGTTTTCTTGCAAAACGTATGGCTTTATTTAAGAAACAAAATGAAGAAGTACATCAATCAAAGTATTGTCCATCGTTAGCGATGACTTTCTCCCATCTTTCGGTCAGCAAGTGAATTTCGCGGTGAAAGAATAACTCATCTTTGGAGGCTATCCAGTCAGAGACTCATTTTTCCACGTTTTCATAAGAATTGAAGCATTCCTCAGCAAGTGCGTGTGCCATCGAAACAAGTGGTAGTCGGAAGGGGCACAATCTGGTGAATAAGCCGCATGGGGTAACACTTCTCAGCGAAGTGCTTCTAACGCTTCCTTGACAGATTTTGTGATGCGAGGCTGAGCGTTGTCATGAAGCAAAATCACTTTATGCTGTCTCGTTTCATATTTTCGTCATTTTTCGTGCAATGCTCGGCTCAAAAAACGGATAATTTGTTCTCTACAGAGATACCCTGTGACTGTTTGATTACTTTTCAACAGTTCATGGTACAGCACACCCTTCTAATCCCACCAAATAAAGAGCATTGACTTCTTTCTGTGGATATTCCGCTTTGGCGTCGATGTTGAGGGTTGGCCGGGATCGCAAACAGTTTTTCGACGTTTGGGACTGTCAAAATAAATCCATTTTCATCCCCAGTGATGATACGATGTGAAAATCCCTTTCTTTGTTGCTTAGAGAGCAGAATTTCGAAGGTGGTTTTTCGCCTTTCAACGTCTTTTGGCTTCAGTTCATATGGGACCCATTTTCCTTCTTTGTAAACTTTTCCTAAGGCTTTCAAACGATCGGAAATGACAGATTGAGCACAATTTAATGTTTCTGCAAGTTGCTTTTGCGTTTGACATGGGTCTTCGTCCACCAATGCCTGCAATTCTTCGTCTTCAAATACTCTTAGCCGTCCAGAACGCTCTTTGTCCTCTACATCAAAATCACCAATTTTAAAGCATCGAAACTATTCTCTGCTTGTTTTATCAGAAGGAGCATTATCATCGTAAACTTCTACAAGCATTCGATGAGCTTCAGCTGCAGTTTTCTTTCAATTGAAGCAAGAGATTAACACTTCGCGTAAATGACGCTTATTTGACTCCGACATTAAATTTCGACATTTTCGATGCAATGACAAACAATGTTATTGATGCAAACGTATACTTTTATGTACTGAATGTTATTGTCAGATGTTAAAACAAATTATTAAGCTTCGTTCAGACATTACAGGTTAACGACAGTTCTAGCTATAGCTACTTGTCGCTAAATGGACGGAATTTTCCGATTTACCTAATAGATAGCATACTATAAAATCGAAGACCGCGAGTTCAATTCTCGGTAGAACCGAAAAATTGTATACGATCGTTCTCCTCTCGGAAGGCATTGGCAAAGCGAGAATGTCTAGTAAAATCTTTCTAATATTGCCGTTCGGAACCAGCGTTAAACTGTAGGTCTTGCATACATGTAAATAATCTAGATGCGCATGTATATGAAAGAGAGATCGCCAACGTCCGAGATCGGATATGGTACATCAAGAAAATAAGGTATATATCCGACACTGCATTCTTTATGAATTTCAACAAGGGAAAAGTGCTGCAGAAACATGCGAATTGATTTGTTTCTTTCTCGGCAAAGATGTTCCCAGTCAGAACCGTAACGTTGATTTGACGTTGAAATGGTCGATAAACCATTGAATCAACGTTAATTCAATCCTCGTTTAATCAACGTTGTAGTTCGGACTGGGTTGCATCGTACGATGTGTGTGCATTTCGGTTTAGATAGTTTAAAAGCGGCAATTACAGTCTGAATGACAAAAAACATCTTGGAGGCCGTGTGGAAGTGCGGCAACAACGATTTGGAGCAACTGCTCCCTGAGAATTCAGCACAAACGCAAAAGAGCAGTTAGAAATAATACAACAAACTACACCAACCAAACGCCTACACGAGATGGGGAAGATTGGAAAAGAAGCAAAAAGGGTTCCGCATGAACTCACTGAAGCCAACAAAAATCAATGAGTGACAGTGGGTCTTCTTCTTCTTAATAAGCAGTGTAGAAAGTCTTTCTTGTGGAAAATTATTACGGCCGATGAGAAGTGGACATTCTATGACAATTCAAAACGCAAAATGTTATGGGTAAATCTCAGCGAATCAGTCAACATCGCTCGCAAAGTCAAACTGCCACATTTCGGAAAGAAGATTCTGTTCTGCATTTGATAGAATATGAAGGGCGTAATTTATTATGAGCTATTAAAAATGAATGAAACAGTTACTGCGGACCGCTACCAACACCAATTAATCCGTTTGAATCAAGAATGAAAACGCTCATATAGTGGCAAAGGAAAACGTCCTCTAAATTTTTGCATAATAACGCTAAGCCATACATTGCTTCTATGACAAAAGACGTCATAATGAGTCTCGGTTGGGACGTCTTGCAGCATCCGGCGTATTCACCAGACATTATTCCTACCGGTTATCACTTGTTCCAGTTGATGCAACATGCCTTGTCCGATACGCACTTCAAATCAGTGGATGAAATCCGAAAATGGCTTGACAACTTTATCATATTCAAAGACATAATATTTTTCCGACATGAAATTCATCAGCTGCATGAAATATAGCTTAAAGTTATAAAAAACAATGGCGAATACTTTGATTGACAAATTTGTTTTACTTTCTTTTAAAGTAAACCTTGAATTTAATTGAAAAATTTGGATCATTCATTTATACACCTAATATATTATAATGAACTAAAAAATGAAAATATTTACCGTCATCAGCCAAGCGTTCACGTAATTCTTGTTGCAATCGTTCATGACGATCTTCCAATTGTACTTCTTGTGCGCGTATCAGAAGCTCTTTTTCGTATCTACGTAGTTCAGTGCGTTCTTTCATAAGATCAAACCATTCCCTGAGTAAATCTGCTTCTTCATGGTCGGAGGAATCTAAATAAAATTAGATTGATAGAATTAGATAAAATTAATTGATAGGAAGGAGCATTTTTTATATACAGGGTATCCCATTTTAAAGTACCCACTCAAATATCTCAGAAATACTGCGTTAAATCGAAAAATGTTTCAGACAAAAGTTGTTTGGCTGAAAGGAGGACATAAGACGATAACATTTTGCTTATAGATAGCACCACTTTTGAGATATTCACTGATCATTAATTTTCTTAAATGGATATCCAAACTTTTTATTACACTATCTTTTTCTACCAATGAACATGAACAACTTTTGTTTGAAACATTTTTTTATTTGTTTAATATTTTTTTAGATATTTAAGGAAAACTTGGTAACTTTTTCAATATTTAACTTACTCCTACTCTCATATGTAGAACATATTCAAGATGGTAATAGTTATTGCCAATTCTCTTAATCCAGTTAATTTCATTAAAAATTTTAGTTATCTTACATTACACAAAGAAAATTTGATTGAAACCTCATTTTATCATAATTATTAAAACTTAAATCGATTGTATATTTCCGGAGATATTAACTTATAATATATTTGATATCAAATATCGTATATATTATTTAATATATATATTATTTTAAACCACAAGAATATTGTTACTTTGATGTTTACGAACGTGTACGGATGTTACACATCCTTTATTGATTTCTACGTATGCTTGACATCTTCGTATTACAAAATTCCAAATTTTTTAGAAATTTCTAGGTTATTTCGAATCAATTTGGCTACATTTTGAATTATCTGATATAAATCTTGTATATTATTTATCGATGAATAATGTACAAAATGTTCCATGGGAAGTTGTTGAAATTAATGATTAGTTCCCTCCTCCATGACTTTAGAACAGGTCTTAAGGTTAATAGTTGTCTGCAGTTTATCTGGTTGTGGTAGAAGCAAGTCTGTGTGCAGCGAAATGAGTAATCTGATGACGGAAAAGAGACTTACCGAGTGCTCCTTTTCTAGAGGAAAAGTATATAGCAATGCTTACAGGGAGTTTCGTACTAAATACGAATATATACGAGGGTCTTAGAAGCACCTGACCTGACGTATAGATAGCGGTTGTTGTTCGAAAGAATGACTATGGTAGAAAGTACCAACCTTATATTAGGTGAGCAACTAAGTTTCCGGGTTTTTTTGATCAATGAAAAATGGAAAATTTCAAGAGAAATACAAAAAATGGTTTACTCAAAGTATCGTCCCTCGCTAGCTACACATTTTTGCCATCTCTCTAGCAATACATGAATACTGCGACGGTAAAACGACGCGTCTTTGGACCGAAACCATTCATCCAACCAATTTTGCACTTCTTCGAAATTGGCCAAGTGTTGCCCAGCCAAGCCATGCGCCATCGACCGGAACCAGTGACAATCGGAAGGGGCCAGGTCTGACGAATACGGCGGGTGCGGTAGCAGATCCCATTTCAGCGTTTTGATGGTATCCTGGACGATGGAAGTGCGATGGCACTGAGCGTTGTCGTGCTGCAATATCACTCGTTCGTGTCTCGTGTCCCATTCTGGCAGTTTTTCGAGCAATGCATGGTTCAAATTGATCAGTTGTTGTCGGTAGCGATGCCTATTGACAGTTTCGCCCGCACATTCAGCAGCTCATAGTACACGATTCCTTTCTAGTCCCACCAAACGTAGAGCATTGTCTTCTTTCCGAAGCGATTTGGCCGTGCCGTCGATGTTGATGCTCCGCCAGGTGAAAGCCACGATTTTTTGCGTTTGGGATTCTCGAAATATACCCACTTCTCATCGCCAGTAACAATTCGATGCAGGAAACTCTTTCTTTCATGCCGCAAAAGCAAAGTTTCGGAAGTGGCTCTTCGATTTTCCATCTATTTCTTAGTCAACTCATGCGGCACCTATTTTCCTTCCTTTCGAATTTTTCCCATGGCACGTAAACGTTTGGAAATACCTTGGAGAGACATGCTTAATGCCTCCGCAAGTTGATCTTGTGTTTGCGTATCATCTTCATCTAATAACACTTGCAGATCGGCGTCCTCAATTGTTTTTGGTCTTCCGGAGCGCTCCTTGTCCTCAGTGTCGAAATCGCTACTTCCGAACCGTTTAAACCAATCTTCACAAGTTGTTTTCGATGGTGCATGTTTGCCGTAGGCCTCCTCAAGTAAACGACGTGCTTCAGCTGTACTTTTTTTCAAGTTAAAGCAGAGAAGAAAAGCTTCCCGCAAATGCTGTTTATTTGGCACAAAACTCGACATCTTCGTTGTTAGAAAAAATATTTTTGCGTTGCGATATGTGTTGGTATTACGACTGGTTATTGTTAACAGATGTCCAAGCTATAAAAAACACAACTTCAGACATGTATGTCGACTACATGTGTCGTTAATGCCATCCATGTGTGAAACCCAGAAACTTAGTTGCGCAACTAGTAAAGCTTAAGTTTGAAGTTTGACGACGCTACGTTGTTTAGTATTTATTTGGCAGCCATCAATAGTGAACGCTCTCAGTGAATTTGTAAACATGGAAAAAATTGGTCATCGTTATGTGATACAATACTTTCATTTGAAAGGCCTCAGTCCAACCAATATCAAAGCAGAGCTAGATTCTACTCTGGGGGAGTCTGCTCCTTCGTTTACAACAGAAAATATTGGGTGGTAGAGTTTAAACGAGGCCGTACGAGCTACCAAGACGAATATCGCAGTGGTCGATCAAATGAGGTGACCACGCCAGAAATGGTGTAAAAAATCCACAAAATGGTATTGGATGACCGTCGACTGAAAGTGCGCGAGATAGCAGACATGGTAGGCGTTTCGAAAAGTGCTGTACATCGCATATTGACTGAAAATTTGGACATGAGAAAGCTGTACGCAAGATGGCCGCGATTACTCACAACGGAACATAAACAGCATCGTGAGGATGTTTCAATCGAGTGTTCGGCGAAGTTTCACAGCAATAAAGCCGAGTTTTTGCGTCGGTTCATAACCATGGATGAAACATGGGTCCATCACTTCACACCTGAGACGAAGAAACAGTCAAAACTCAAAAAATGGACCAATGTGACTTGATGGCTATTTTGAGGAGCTCGACGATTCCCACTATAAATAGGGTATCGAAGCTATTGAACATCGCTAGGAAAAGTGTATTGAGCTAGAAGGAGACTATGTAAAGAAATAAAAATATTCTTTCTCAAATTTTTTGTGTTTTCTTTATTAGGTCAGGTATTTCTAGGACTACCCTTGTAAAATCGGACGTCAGGAAATGATCCCGTTATAAAATTATTATTTTTATTTAGAAATCTTTATAATAATTAGTAATTTCTTAGATATATGTGAAAATATCATGAAACAAATGAAATTTTATTAAAGTGGCTTATCTAGAAAAATTTTTATTCGATAAAAAAATATTCCCAATAAAAAATATTTGTTTATAAAAATATCATAAAAAATGGGGATGTCCATAATAAAATATAATTGATTTTTATTTGACCTGTAGTAGTGTCACCTATATCATAATTGATAATGTTATTTTATGTCCCTTATAATTAACAAATCCTCTCTATAATATGTTTTTGTAATACTTTACGAGATATTTGTCATTAACAATATAAATGGTTCACCCGATATAAGCAACGCAAGTTATATTATTGAGTTTGTAAGGCATATAAGCCACTGCATTCTTTTCACGTTTCAATTAAATAAAAATGCTTCAAATCCTATCGAATAAAAATAATCGAATGCTGAAAAGTGGTATTAGGTTTCGGAATGATAACGTTTTGCCATATATCGCGAAAGAGACAAAAGATGTAATTCTTTGGTATCAAAAGTTCTCTTTCATAGGACGTATTTGCCAGACCTAAATTCGTTAAGTTACCATCTATTTCGATTATTTTAACATTACCTACCTAATATATATTACAAAACAATAGAAGAGATATACAGAACTATTGACGAATTTATAAAAATCGCCATCTTTTTTGAAAAGGAATTCATTAGTTGCTCGAAAAATAGAGAAAATTATTGAAGATAGTTATAAATATTTTAAGGATTAAAATATTTCATTTTCGTAAATTAAGATTCAGTTTCATTAAAGAAAGTACTAAATTTATTATTTTTGTACACCTAAAATATATAGTTTTAAAAAATATATAAAATACTACAAGTTTTCATCTAAAATAATATTTTTATTATAACTGTTTATTTCACATTTTTAAAAATATTGTTTTCGAAAATTAAATTCATTACATTTCTGTAGAAAAATTTGTCCAACCTCTAAACTTGTATAAAAATACATACAAGATACATATCTTTTATTTTTAGTCGTTTTACAATTTATCCAAAACTTATAAAAAACGATAAGAAGCAATTCTATATGTTTGCATATAAAATATTCCCACTTTCTTATTTAAAATACAACATTATTTAAAATATAACATCTTATTGAACTCCTTTTAAACGAATAAAAGTATCTACTTAATACAAGGTGTCCCACGGGAAGGTGCTGAAACTATACGATTGGTTCTCCTCTCCATGATTTCGGAAAGAATCTTACAGTTAACAGTCGTCCATCTGAGGGTCTGCAGTTCTATTCTGGCTGCGATAGAAACAAATCCGTGCGCGTCGAAATGAATTGTAAGGCATATAAGCGTCTCTCGAACGTTTATCGAACATCTATCGAACATTTATCGAACATCTATCGAACGTCTATCGAACGTCTCTCGAACGTCTAATAAGCATCACACCGCAAATAAAGAACTGTATTTTTTTATCAAACACAATTATCATATAAAATCCTAAAAGGTGAAAGGGGATAAGCGTGTTGGAAGAAACATCTGTAGATTTGAAATAATGTTTTTATTAAGCGTCGTACAATTTTCTCCGAGACCACTAATTGAAAATTTTTAGTACATTTTGTAAGGCACAATTCTTCATATGATTATTACATCGAAAAGTATCATTCAATTTTTTGCAGAGAAGGCATATCATCGTAGTCGGTGACCATGGTCTTAATGATCACGCTGCTTCTCACATTGTCATCCAGAAAGTGTAACAACCATTCTCGTTTCTCATGCCCCTTCACGTACATAAATTGAGATGCATCGTCTTCAAGTTCGCTATACATATCACCCGCCACAGCTACAGTAACCAGATGTTTAGTTCTGCAGTATTTGACGATTCCATCTTCCCATCGTAATCCATGATGATTAGCCGTTAACCAGTAGGCCCTCGATTTGTCTGATTCTGTGAGCAGATGCCATGGCATTAGACTCGTGAAGACGTAGTGCGAAAGAATAGTTCTGTTCTTCAGTATCTCTGCTTCTTTTACAATAAATCTCTTTCCAACCATGAATCCTTGCAAGTCGACAAACGTCGGCACAACCATGGTGAAACATTCTTCGACACGTCCGGGAGAGAAATGCCGTTTATAGCACTTTGTTGCATGTATTATTCTTTTCTTGTATATACTTTCTGATGTTAGTTGAGTTTGCGCACTATCGATGTCGGCTAGCGGGCTGTATTCAACTACACGATCATGCAGGATGAGACAACATGCGGTAGTATTCGCCGGTATATTCTCCTTACACTCAAATTCTATCCGCACATCCACAGTGGCACTCTTGATGGACTCATATTAACGCGAACAATCAATAACCACGAAAGGACCTAGCCATTAAAAGTCGGTAGTTGTTAACCATACCTCAGCACTGTCGTATCCATAATACGATTTACAAAAACGTCTATACATATTGTAAAGTATGGCGTATTTATTTTTTGCAAAGTCTAAATTCATGTCGTCGTACGGATAACACTTTGAATTCAAATAGAGCTTCGCGTTGATCAACTTGCAATCATTGAAACGAGTTATATTTTCCGATATGACATTCTTCCGGCTAGTCTGCAGCGCAAATATAACATATAGTAGTTTCTCCAAATTAGTAGCAATTTTGACGGTCCACAGGTGTTTGGTCGTGCTTTGCAATAGAGGAAACCCATATTCAGATATCGTCCGTTCTCTAAAGTTCTTAGCATGGAAAGTTTATTAATATCGTTTAAGATTACGTGAGGCATTCGCCATTGTATTTTGAATAGCTCAATCTTAGGATCCAGCGCTGAAGATCCTAGTAGACTGTTGTTGTCGCTGTACGATCGTAATAGAATCAATTCATGACGCATTATTTAATTCATGGATTAATTAATTCATGGCGCATTAATCACTATACGCTTGTAGTCTTCACAGAATCCTAGCAACACACTGAGTGGTACACAAAAGTTGAAGTCCGGCGAAATAATGTCAGTCGTATCCCACGCGGCATGTTTCATGATAGCATTTTTATCTGAAGATAGCGATGTATAGTTTTTGAGCGTTGAAGTTATTCCCACGTTTCTGTTACGATCAATCTCCACACCAACCAGTTCATAACGGATCTCATCAAACATGAATGCGATGCAATTATATCCCCATGTTACAGTCGCATTATCGACTGCAACTTGTTTCGTCTCCTTCCCCTCAACATAGAGATAACACTCGCATGGCAATATGTATAAATCCTGCTGCTATGGGTATGGATACATAGTGTACGTATGTGTCTCAATCTTGACGATGCGATCGTCAAAGACCGGTTCACTTTCAATGTTCAAAATGTCAATCATCTTTTCCAATCATTTCGTATGATGAATTCCAGAGATTTCAAAAATTTAACGTTCAACGCGCTGAGTTCCTTTCGAACGAGGGATTTTGTACTGTTAACCGCGTGTCTCGTAAAAAGAATATATTTCCAGCTTGCTTCTCCTGTTCCACTTGATTCACCACAAACATTTCATAGATTACGTTTATTATCGTCGCCATCATACGTGAAATCTAATGGTAATTTCTTCTCCTCGAAAATTTGTCCTTCTTGATCAACTCTTCTCATCGATTGTCTTTCTTGATCAACGACACGCACCGTTAAATTTGTAATGCTCCATATGATGATTGGAAGATAAATAACATGTGCCGGTGTATCCGATATCTTATATCCTGGTGGCACCCTCGACGAGAAGTTCGAGAGACATTTGATAGACATTCGAGAGACGTTCGATAGACGTACGAGAGACGTTCGATACACGTTTGAGAAACGTTCGATATCAGACAGTAAACGAAGGGTTCGTGGTATGATACTTACACTTACTTGATTATTAACGTTATATCCATCAATAAAATAAACTGATATACAAACATTTTGCTAAATTTTGTTTAGGTCCATTAGAAACTGTAGACTTTCCTCTCTCCAACGGCAATTTTTGTTTTTCCAATAACTGCATACGTTTAAAAATGACAGCTGATTAGTTTCAGCAACTTCCCATGGGACATCCTGTATAATGAATATGATATAAATATATATACGTATATATTTACCTCCTTCACCACGCAATGCTTTCTCGACGCTTACTCCTCTGTTTTCTAATTCTCTCTGTTTCACTTCAGTCTCTTCTAATTTTCTTTGTATTTCTTGAGCCATCCGCAATCTTTAACATTCAAATTGCTATAAATTAAAACTACATTCTTAATAATATAAACCTTATCTAAAAGAACGCATCCATAAAATACTTAATTTATATATTATAATCGACAAAAAATAGTCAATAAATATATTTATCAAATTAATTATATTAAAGTTTAGAAAAAAGGATGTTAGAAATGAATCAAATCTGTTTCTAATAATTGAATAAAGTTGTTTCTGTGTGCCGCTGAATTAAAATTATAATAGTCGTTCTGCTGTGATTTTGTAGAAAACTTATAGTCCTTACATATTAAGTGCTTGAATTAACTCTCGCTGTTTTTTGCAATAAAAACTCATGTTTATTTAAAAAACATGGTATATTATATTTTATTCAAAATATTGTCCTTTGGAAGCTATACAATCTTTTCCCTCTTTTTGGGTAACACGGATTCCGCGGTAGAAAAACTCAGGTTCTTTTGAGGTGATTCAATCATCGACCCATTTTTTTATATCTTTGAAAGATCTGAAATGCTGTTCAGAAAGGCTATGTCGTATCGACCAAAACAAATAATAATATGGAGAAGCAACGTCTGGTAAATAGGGCGGGTGGGATATAACATCCCATCCAAGTGCCTCCAAAATTTCCTTCACTGGTTTTGCAACATGTGATCTAGCATTGTCAGTAGTATGTAGGAATGTGTGGCCCATCAAAACATTCCCCCTCCACTCAACCCGTCGGAGCCACTAAACCACGCCCACCGATGCCGGCGGGTCGAGTAGAAGGGGAATGTTTTGATACCTCCCCACAGACAAAAACTAATTGACTTTTGAAATAAGCAAATTATGGCCGACATTATTAGGGGAGTTGGCGATTCTGGCTCTTGATCGGCTTACTTAATTTACATATTGCATTTGCGGAAAAACTCTGTAAGCTCTGTTGGATTCGAAACTGGGACCTCTGGCTTTTGGAGTCACGCCCGTCTTACCACTACGCTACTGCTATACCCTGATGGAAACTAGTTATACAGCCTACATACGGAAAGTATCCGATGTAACAAGTTTTGGAAAAAGTAGGCCCTGAGTCACGGCGTCTTACCACTAGGCTACTACTATACCCTGATGGAAATTAGCTATATCATCTACATATAGAAAGTATCGACGTCACAAGTTTTGGAAAAACCTTGTAGGCTCTGCTGGAATCGAATCGGAGATATCTGGCTCTCGAGTCAAACCGCCTTACCATCGCGCTACCGCTATACCATGATGAAAACTAGTGTGTGTGTGTACGTGCGTGCGTGCGTGCGTGTGTGTGTATGTGTGTGTGCGTCCCCGCATGCGTGTTCTCTGGAAAAATCCTGTAGGTTCTCCTCGAATTCAAAACCTGGGTCCACCGGCTCTGGAGTCTTATGCACTGCGCTACTGCTATACTTTGATGGAAATTAGTTGTATTGTATATATATGTAGAGTATCGACGTCACACGCGAAAATTTGGAAAATTCTAGGCTCTACGAGACTCGAAGCACAAGGTCATTGCTCTTGCGTCGTGTGAGTGCGTGCGTGCGTGCGTGCGTGCGTGCGTGTGTGTGTGCATGTGTGTGTGTGTGTATGTGTGTGTGTGTGTATGTGTGTGTGTGTGTGTGTGTGTGTGTGTGCGCGTATTCGAGCAGACGATGATAATTTCAAAGACAAAAGAAATCCTCAATTATTGGAATATGATACCTTCGGTCTATGTCTAGCCGAATATTTTTACCTGTGAGGGCCCCGTTTTCGATTTCGGAAAATTTACGAAGAGATTTGTTACCTTAAATGGAAAAAATCATAGGGAAGAGAGAAGAGGTGAAGAGAAAGGAATGCACAAAATCTTTTATAGAATAAATTCACATTTTATTTTTTAAGTTACATTCGTAGCTTTGCAAGCATTCGTAGCACTCTGCATTCGTAACACTCTGCATTCGTTACAATTTCGCGTATAATTTCATTTAAATGAATCGAGGTTAAATCTTAGAATACAATATTAAAGTACGAGTCTAAAAATGGTAAATTTTTTATTTGGCGTCGTACGTTTTCTTCGATTTCTCGATATTTAGCAGTGAGCGTCTGTTTCACGAAATCTTCGTTTATGTCTTTCTTCATGAGATTAAGCTCTAAATCGGATATTACAATACACTTACAATTATTTACAAGAGCTTCAACCGACTGTAAATGCTCGTATCTAACGTCGATACGTTTCGCGATAGTTTTCAGACCATCGAAAGTAGTCTTCTGCATTACAATATTTTCCGTGTACAGTTTACGCTTCTTCAACGGTGGGTGCTTCAAATGCGTAGAGTCATTCGATGTCTTCTTCACAGGCCGGTCCTCCGTTTTCCCTCGCTGGCTCACCATTATAGCCCGTGCACCGTACGCAGAGGTAAAGTTGACAGCAATGCCGTTAATGATGATAGGGGTTGGCATATTCTTATTTTTCTCGTACAAGTAAGAATTTGCAATGGGTATAATATCTTTAAATTTCTCCCATGTATTTAAATCAAGGAGAATTCCTGAAGCCGTGTTTCCCACTATCTTGATTGCCGGCTCGAATGTTCCCACGTCGTACATGGTGCGCAACCCAACTTGCGCCCTCTTAGTGTCCGAATTGTTAAGAGCATAAGTTGTGCATAGAAGCATGTTGCGTTCGTTTCTCACTTCTGTAGAGAGGCTGTTTGATATCTTCTTAAGATCATCATTCACGTTAGCGACGGAGATTATTCTTGCACGAACTTGTAAATAACTCACACGTGAACTAGCTACGCAACCAGTAGAAGCAACGAAGCTCGAACGACTGAGCAGTCCCAGTTCCATATGTCTTTCCCCGTAGAGAATAGAAAAAGTAGTGGGGATGGTGATGCGCAAACATAAAAAGTCTACAACTACTTCTCTTTTTCAAAATAATATACGGGGTGTCCCATTTAACCTGACAAATCGTAATATCTGGAAAACTACATGTCGGATCAAAATAAGTGGGTAATGAAATGTATTCGTCTCGAAGGGGGACATCTAACGATATCAAACTCGACCTCCCATCCCACTCCCGGAAGGTGGGGGTGGAGGGCAACTTTGAAATCTTAAATGGGAATTCTCATTTTTCATTGCAGAATTAGATTTTACGTGAAGTTTTTATGGAAACAATTTTTTTCGTTCGTGATAGATAGCGTTGAATTTTTCCGAGCAACAACTTTCAAAATTTCTCCTACATTCGCTATAAATGAAAATCATTTCAATTTTTTCTTGCACAGTTACATAATCCATGATGCAAAGTCAGTAGTATGGGGGTAGGTATGGCTAGTCGAAACATTCCTCCTCCACTCGACCTTCCGGCGCCTCTAGACCACGCCCACCGGTGCCGGAGGGTCGAGTGGAGGGGGAATGTTTTGACTGGCCATACCTACCCCCAAGGCTAAAAATGGCGGAAATTTGAATCACCGGAATAAAAATTAGAGCGTAATCTGAGTATTAAATTTTTATTATTCAAATTAGGCGTTGTTGTGATTCTAGCTCTTGGTCAGCTGGTTAAATTTCCATATTACTTTTGGAAAAATCTCTTAGGCACTCTGCGAGGCTCAAACCCGGGGATCTCAGGCTCTTGGAGTCAAACGTCTTACCACCACTGCTCTACTGTTACTCTGTGGTAGAAACTGGTTTCACGGCGTACACGTAGAACGGAGAGAGGTGTGTGTGTGTGTGTGTGTGTGTGGTTAGTGCGAAGACTGGAAAAATCCTGTACAGTCCTGGCTGGATTAGAACCTGGGTCCGCTCTGGCTTTCGAGTCAAGCGTCTTATGCCCTACGCTACTGCTATACCCTGATGGAAACTAGCTATATTGTGTACATACGGAGAGTATTGACGTCACGCGTGAAAAATTTGGCAGATTCTAGAACCTACGGGACTCGGGCCCCCCACCATGAGACTCCGGCTCTCGATTCTCGTGAGCGCGTACGAGCATGTTCGAGCAGGTAGGGATCGTTTCGAAGACAAAAACTAGCCAGCGATTGATGGAAGACTATACCTCCGCCCTATCTTTACCCAAATATTTTTACCTGTGCAGGTCCCCTCGCTTTCGAACTCGAGAGTTTATAACAGAGATTTGTTACCTCGAACTGGAAACCGCTGGGAAGAGAGAAGAGGTGAAGAGAAAGGAATGCACAATATTTTTCATAGAATTAATTCACATTTTATTCTTATACATTTTTCTTAATACAGGATTGAACCTGGTACACAGGGATATGATTATCTAGCGATTTACACTTACGAGGGTAGTTTGATAAGTCAGTGACTTTTTTAATAAAAGATATTTTTTTCGGCAAATAAGCGTTTTATTTCTCAACGTAGTCTCCTTTTAGTTCGATACATTTAGTCTACCGTTTTTCCAATTTTTTTATTCCTTTCAAATAATAGGTTTTCTCAAGGCCCTCAAAATAGGCGTTTGTTTCAGTGATGACCTCTTCATTCGACTCAAATCTCTTACCGCCCAGCCATTTCTTCAGGTTTGGAAACAGGAAATAGTCGCAGGGGGCTAAATCTGGTGAATATGCTGCATGGGGTAGCAGTTCGTAGCCCAATTTATGGATTTTTGCCATGGTGACTACACACGTGTGCACCCGTGCATTGTGCTGATGGAACAGCACTTTTTTCTTCGCCAAATGCGGTCGTTTTTGCTTCAAATCAATATCGAATCTGTCCAAAAGCTCTGAGTAATATTCGCCGGTGATCGTTTTACCCTTTTCAAGTAATCGATGTGAATGATACCGCGTGCATCCCAAAAAACTGTGGCCATGGCCTTGTTGGCCGACAGACCTACCTTGGCCTTCTTTGGTGCACGTTCACCCGAAGAAACCCACTGTCTTGATTGTTCCTTGGTCTCTGGTGTGGTGTGATGGATCCATGTTTTGTCTACGGTAACGAAACGGCGCAAAAACTCGTTCGGATTGCGGCTGAACATCGCCAAACACTCCTTTGAAATGGTCACACGGTTGCGCTTATGGTCGA